ATACAAATTACGTGCCTGAAACTCCTGTTTTATGGTGCATTGTGACCCTGACCCTAACCCTTATTAAAATTTAATTAAAAAAATTAAAATTAAATTTCATTGTTGTAAAAATTATTTGTTATTATTAAATTGTTGTAAATAAATAATGTAAATATTTGCGTTAATTGGGAAATAATTGTTAGATGGATAAAGATAGAAAAATACAGAAAACAGGAAAATAATTAAAAAATAGATGGGATTCGATCCTACGACCTTTTAGCCGTGCCGAGCGTGCTGTAGGCGTTCGGCTATTCAGGCTTATTGGGTTTATGGATTATGGATGTCTCATGAATATGACAACACTGTGACGTCATTGAGGCAGTTGAGGCATGTGATTTGTATCAACTAATGGGATTTGGGAGGTATGCAGGCCCTAGCTGCGAGTCTCAGAAACGGACTGAGAAAAATAACCCCAGCAACGCTCACTAACATCGCGATAGCTCCCATGTACGCCTATCGATCCCTACAATTATGAACGCATGAAACGCTTATAAGCTGTAGTTGTACAATCATAGGCCTTATTAGTAGTGTTGTCAATCAGTTGTAATTTCGAAATCGAAGGGAATTTTTCTATGCTATAACTGCATAAAATCTTGGTGTTTTGAATGTTGGTATAATCAGTGATATTTCCACTGTCAGGTGAGACAATATTCAGCTATATTTAGTTTTTCTGAGCCAAAAAACTCGCAATACACGCTTTAAGGGAGAGAATTCCAATATGGAATGACAGAAACAAAGAAGCTAAACTTAAAGGGATCCTTAGAAGATGGCACATGTCGAAAGCAATGATCATGCTCAGATGAGATTGGGCTAATTCTTACCTAGCCTGAGGCTGAGGCAGCTGTGGGAATTATACAATCTAGTAATTAATATGTGACTGTTTCCTGGAGTCTGGAGATTAAATCTCACTGAAGATCGGCTTGGGGTGATGTCAGTGGTTTAGTGTTTACAAGTTTTAAAACCCACATTTTATATTGAAAGCTTTCAATTCAAATGCCAGCCAGGTATGTACATTTTCTCAAAGTGTAAAAGCCTTTTTATCTTTATTTGGGCTTTGAATCCGTTATGGCTTGGATAACCATGTGAAATAGAGTTGCAAAGTTAATATAGCACCAACTAAGAGAGATTTGTGGTACAGTGGTTATATATAATATAGTGTACCAGCCTTCCACTTCGATAGCTGCAAGTTTAAAACCCTGACCCGGTTAGCGAGTTTTCTCAGTGAATCCTGCATGTGTAGAATGACCATGTAAAACAAAAAGTCCATCTGCTTTCACTTTCAGGTGACGTAAAAGCCAATAAGGACATAAAACTCTCAGTGACCACCCTTGATGTCTGTAAAGAAGTCGGCCTAGTGTAGGGAACTTCTGGGGCTAACTCGCGGATCTGAATTAAACTTCATATCTATACAGCCAGTTAGCTAAATGCAGATGCACAAACTTACCACTATATATCTCGTGTAGGAAACACTAACAAGTGTAAGAACATAAACATAACATGCAAAGAAATGGCAGGTCAGTCTCCAGTAATAGAGATGTAAAAGAACCACCGAGGATGTAAAATACTGGTTGTGAATACCCTCAGTGTAATGAGGATATATATATGTCCCAGAGAGAAGTTCACGTAATAAAAGGAAGAAACCATGTTAGCAGATATATTACTAATTCAGGACGTTGAAGTTATCATATGTAGCAGATCTGTTAACCGAAAACTGAAAGCATCAATGCTGAAGATGCTTTTCATATGACCTATGCAATTATTCATGTTTTTGGTGTTATTAAAGCTTTCTAAACTTGGTGTATAGCCTTCTCCTGCCACCTAGTGAGAGAAAACTCACGAAGCTGCCAGTATAGATATAGCTATCAGCCTATCATGAACCGTTACAATTTACAAACATTGTTTCCTAAGAAGCCTTTTCTGTATACTACTTCCTACTAGATTCTTCCAATTTGCACCTGTCCTAATTTTTCCAGCAGCCTATAACATCATATACATTATTATTTACTGCGAAGCTTTACCTGCGAAGAATATTCATACCAAAGTTTGCTAAACCCCCACATGCTCGGGTTCATTCAGATACAATGCAGACTGCCACGTATATATTTGGCTTATATTGAGGCAACCAAGATTCTAAGGCTAGAATTATAATGAACAGCAAAGCTATAGTTAAAGGGTGTGCAGTGGGTAGAATAGGTAGAGGATAGTAGTGATGTCCCAATTATCGATTTTAATCGAAAATTAATAGTTTGCAGCCACCTGTTAGATATTCAATAATGAAGAACAATAGTTCATCCCCAATGTTAGCTATTGCAACTGGAAGTAAGAACTGCTGCAAACTCTCATAATGCTAGCACTTTTACTTTTTTTGTTATTTGAATTTAACTGCAAAGGTGCTAAAAGTCCTCCTCTATCTTCTCCTCTTCCTGTAATTTCTCTCCCCAACTCCGCCTTCTCCTCTTCCTGTAATTTCTCTTCCCAACTCTGCCTTCTCCCTTTCCACTAGGTTCTTAACCTTAAATACTTTTCATTTACTTCCGCTACCTCGACCACCTCCTCCCCTTCATCTGCCTCTCCCCTCATTTCTCATACTGAATGAAATTGTCAAGAACTGCTGTAACTCACTGTACTGTCAGGAAAATTCCGAGAGAAGCTGGAACAGGTAAAGGAGGTCAAGAACGAATGGATTAAAAGTAAATAGAGGAGGAGAAATGGTAGAAATGAAAAAAGGGTAGAAAAGGCCGGAAAGAAGAGGAGAGGCAGAAGCTGGAGGTGGCAGATGAGATAGAGGAGAGGAGAAAGAAAATAATTAAATAATCAAGAAATGATTATTTCATCATTTTTTTTAGAAAAACTAAAACGATCTTCATTTTTTCCAATTCGATTAATTGCAAAACTTTAGTATTCATGTATATAAAGGTAATTGAGATTTTAATTGTTTCAACTAGTGTAACTTACAGTCAATTTGTAGTGGCTGACCACTCAGGCTTTAAAATATCCTTTACAATTGTAATATTATCACCAGTGACCCATGTATATAAACGTGAACAGGATTTCAGTTAACATGTTAGAAACGCTGTAGTTATCACATCCGGTGCGGCATATTTTTTCAGTGAATGAATTTATTAAATTTTGTTGTTATTATAAGGCAGAGCTTGAAATTGAATAATGATCAAAAATGGTGGGCAAACCACTGAGAAATGCAGTAAAAGCAGCCAGGCTCCAAGACAGCGTCTATCATTCTATTGATTTTCTGTAAAACTGCTGAAAATCATTGAGATGTTGTACACGCATGCAAGGTGGGCTGTGGAGTAAGAGACAGTTGGTGTTTCTGTGTGAAAGCATACATATATTTGTGTTTCGTGAACTTGTGTGCACTGAGAAATACTCTTACATCTGCATTAGATGCATTAGGTGTTTTATAGAAATTGTAAGTTGCACAGTTTTTTTATTATCATAATTTAATTACGTGCGCATCAAATCATCTGTAATGACTATACATGCAGGGTCTCACTTGATTGACTGTGTATGAATTAGGGAAAGAGAACAAGAGAAGGACTAGAATAAGTCTGAGAGACTGACACTAGTACTGTGTGTCTGGTGTACATGCAAGCTTGCATGTTGTGGGTACATGTGCATATGTGCGTAATAGGGGAACCCGGGGCAAAGCGGAACACGGGGCAAAGTGGAATTGTCTCAGCAGATCTATGTTGATGCCCCCATCTATCTGTGACTGTTTTCATAAGAAGCTGATCAGTTGATGATGCATCGTTTTTAATGGATGCCATTTGCACGAATCAGCTATGTACATTTTTTTGGACGAAAGTCAGTTTTTTATGTGTTTAAACGGATATTTCTGAAAAATGAATCATCTGCTAAATCACTGCATGTGATCTTGTGGAATTCTTATGTAGGCTATTTTGTTGAATCTAAGGCCTATATGTGTGCCATATGCATGATGACATTCTTTGCGTAGTTGTCTGCACAGCGTAACGCCACATGTCTAGAAACTATCATGTGTTCGGGGCAAAGTGGATGGGGCAAAGTGGAACAGGGTTCTACTTTGCACCTAACTCGGTAACATTGGCATAACTGTGTCTTCCCTAGACCTAATTATTGTATAAGCGTCCTAGCATAATGGCATTTTTCTTTCATATTTTAGGCAAAATATGGTACGCAACTATATATGTGAATTTGATGTTCAGAGTTAGACACTGAAACAGAGTTTAGACACCGAACAGAGTTTAGACACTGAAAGAAGACGCAACATTTTTGACACAATTAATATACATGGAGTAAAATGACATTCGACCTTGTCCCATAACAGGTTTCACTTTGCCCCGGGAGTCTGGGGCAAAATGAAATATTTATAAATTTTATAATTTTGTATATTTCAATATTAAAAGTCGTTTTTTAAATTAACTTTGATTGTACCGGCCGCCTGTTAGTTCTTATCCTAAGCCAAAGGATTAGAGCCAAAAATTTCACTTTGTCTCGCTCTTTCACAGCGTTTTGGCCAACCAAATTTCTTCGGTCCACTTTGCCCCGGGTTCCCCTACATACGAACTTAAATATATATTAGATACGTGTGTTCTAATGACATTCCCTGGCATACATTTAGGATAATAGTATTTACAAGATATATGGTACCGGTATGCAAATAATGCATATTCTATTAGAAAAACAACAACTGGCAAGTTTAAGATTTTAATAGAAAGAGAAAAAATAGAAAGAAAAAAGTTAAATGAAAAAGATAATGTTATATTATAGATCGCGTTTAGTTTGCGTTAAATATAAGCTTAGACAATCGTTATGTGACAATCGTTGTGATACAGTTACAAACATAGATATCATATAACAACTAGATAGGCCTGACGTTGTTATATGATATCTATGGTTACAAATCTTAACGGCAAGCCAGCGACGACTGTTGTCCATCTATTTTGAGCCTCGATTTGATTTTTCAACATGTCAGCCCCCTGATTCTGTATTGAATTACCCCGGATTATTGCAACTGACATAACGAGAGTAGCCGGTACGTTAAAATAAAATATGAGGTTACAGTAAGTATCGATTTTAAAACGACGACTTAACATCTAGTTCTAGTTTTATTACATGCACACTTATTTACCTTTTACAATTGAAGAACAAAATCTATATCGCGGCGTGGGCTTCTGCACACATCATTAGGCCCTATGCCTATACTATAGCAAACTCCACGACAGGTGGCGCTCTCGCTCTGGCTCAATACTACCACTGCCACAAGCTGATTTCCGTAAGAATTTCTTACGCTTTTTTACTATAAGTTTTACAGCTTTTAATATCTTTGCAGCTTTTATAAGTACACACCGTATTACATAGGACAGGAGTAACGGGGTCAATACAACCAGT